CCTGGGCACACCCTCCTCCTTTAGATAACAACCCAATCTGTCGAGGGCGGATTGGTGATCAGGTTGGAAGTGGATTGGTGATTAGATTAGAGGTGGATTGGTGATTAAAGAGAAGGGGGATTGGTGATTAGCGAGGTGGACTGATGGTTAGAGAGAGAGGGTCGATTGATGATTAAAGAACGGTTGAACTGGTGATTAAAGAGATGGTGGATTGGTGATTAGAGCGAGAGGGGATTGTTGAATAGACCAAGGAGGGATTAATGACTCAATCAGTACCGTTGAAGAGAAAAAATATGGTATTAGCAGTTCATAATTTAATTGGGACGGTGCATTTACGACAGTAACCTAGCCACTGGGTAGACAGTCCGGGTAAGTAGAGAGGACGTCAGGAAGGCTATCCGGCCATAAAAAAAAGAAATATTTCAAAACCAGACTATAGCGACCCTATAAAAAGTTACAGCAAGGGAAGAAGAGGCGTACTTACGACAGTCTTCTCATACACTAATGGGCCCCCAGAATCTCCCCTGCATGTTCCTTTGCCATCGAGTCCACCGAAACAGATCTGAAATTTTAAATTAAGATTAAAATCAAAGTGAAATGTTTTTTTTTTCTGTATACTTGTGCGCGTGCGTGCGTATGCCTGTATATCTACAAAAGTAAACATCAAAGTACATACGAGCATACGATAATTCATATCCCCAGCAGCAAAAGCACTCACTTGCTCTTCCACCGCGGGTAGGTATCCCTGCATGTCGCTAGAGGGACGGGGGACATGCGTAGTTCCTGAAGGACGGGTGTCCTGTGGGAAGAGTTCGATTCGCCCCAGCCAACCACCACTGGAATATGCATCTTGAACTCCACCTCGAGGTTCATTCTGACTGAGGGAAGGCAGACTGGAGAAACACGACCTGGGAACAGTTAGAGAAAAAAGGAAATGAATGACATAGATAGAGATCTGTGTGTGTGTGAGTGAGAGAGTGAGTGAGTGTGTGTGTGTGTGTGTGTGTGTGTGTGTGTGTGTGTGTGTGTGTGTGTGTGTGTGTGTGTGTGTGTGTGTGCGTGCGTGCGCGCGTGCGTGTCAGACCAATCAAAAACTTCAAGAAGGAGTCATGAAAATTTGGCTACTAAAAGATGGTTAGCTTTGGCTATCCTATAATGGATAATTATATTAACCTAACACACACTAATAAGGAAATATAACTGATAAAAGTGTATTCTGTCATGTGTGAAATATCAACCAGAGAATGCGCAATTAGTATAATCATAAAAAATGGACCAGTGATGTGTAGGCAAACAAGACAATAATTTCTACCGGCTGTTGACGTATTTATATGAAATCACGAGACAGAAATGTCAGTTTTAAAGTGATAATTTAAGAATAGGGTAAAAACGGAACTACTATTATTAGAAAATATTCAGAATTATTTAGAGTTGCTTCATTACCATCATTTTGTGTTTTTTTTTTGTTTTAAAAAGTATATATTTAAATAATCAATAAATAATAATAAATGGAATTGCATTTTCTTCCGGTACTTACTGCTAAGATCAACATTCCTGTTTAATCTAACCAGGGCTATATCGTTATGATGGAGATAGTTGAAGTTCGGATGGAGGACAGCACTTTCCGGTCTGAAGCTCTGGTATCCGTGGGCGTCCTGTGCTGGTTTTAAATATTCAGTTCCGAGGCGAATGGTAGTGCTGGGGGGGGGGGGGTAATCAATTAGAGCCTTAAATCACACTCATTGGTTTTAGAAGGAGGGAGGGAGGGAGGGAGGGAGAGGGAGAGAGGCGAAGGACAGATTTAAAAAAGAGAGAGAGAAATGGTTGTATGAAGGGAATGGACGATAGAGACTTTCAGTTTTTCTGTTTCAATTCCCTCTCCCCCTCCGATATATGATCTTTGATTCTTTTCTCTGTCTAGCCATATAAGCTGAATTGACACTTCGTTTACATTCAAACATAGCTCAGGAAAAAGAAAAACTGGCAACTTAGGCCGGATTCCTGGGTACTCCGACTTGTCAACTCTCATGAGAAAAACAGTAAAATGGTTTAAAGGGTTAGTGGTTAAAACAAATAAATGTGATAGATATCTAAGGTCATATAGCACTATGGTAAAGTATTGTGGTGAAAAGGGAAAAAAATTGTTAATGACTAGGACAAAATAAGGTAGATGTCAGCGGTCGTAGAGTGCTGTAGATTTGTCCTGTATAGTTGTGAAAAGGGTAAAGAGGAGGAGCAAACGGAGTAAGAAGGGGATTAGTAAAAGGGGGAAGAGGGTAAAGAGTGAGGGTCGATTAGATCAAATGGAGAGTATCTATGCGTCAGAGGAAGGAAGCGGGACCAACCAATGAGGAACAATGCAAAAGGGCCATCAAAAAGGGCAATTATCAGTTCGTAATGGTAGAAATGGGCATCGGCGAAGCGGGAGAAGAACACAGGGAACGAAGAGGACAAGGAAAGGAGGGGAAGGATCAAGACAACAAGAAAAAGACTCAGGGAG